TCTCTTAATCACAAACATTTAGTCTCTCATTCTACAGCGTTAATCTACAGTTTTATTTGGCTTAATTTTCAATTTAACCCCCGAACTCTTACCTGTTTTCCCCTTTTGTACTTCCAACTTTTTTAGGTACACTTTAGTACTTAAATTATCATTCAAATCAATATAAATTTTATCACATTGATATAGTTGTATTGTATTTATTTTATTCTTTTTTTGTGGAAGTTGTGCCCTCAACCGCAGCATGTCGAACCGTGTGGGCTTCATGGAATAATTTTAAAATAAACAATTTTTTATAAAAGAAATAAGTTTTTTGATGTTATTTACAGAAATAATTTTAAAATAAGTATCATGTGTCTTTTGATTTCATTTCTTTTTTATAGAGTTTTTTAATAGTCAGTGATTATAAAATAATATTTGTTTTTAATCTTTTTTATCATTGATAACATATACACCTTATAGACAGTTATTCGAACCTAAAACTTTTAAAATAAAATAATTTTAATTTACAATCCTTTTAATCACTTGGTTTAATTTTGTTTTCTTTGTAGTGAAGTAATTCTAATTTATAGTAGTGCCAAATGTCACGGGACTAGACTGCTGTTAGCAAGCTCGTGTGGCCTTAGACGTTTTCAGGGTCGAAAATCGGCTAAGTGATCTGATCCTTCACTAAGCAAGAAAGCTTAGAACGTTGGAAAACCCAAAGGATTTGAGGAAAACAAAGAGATGGGAGCACAAAGGAAGAAAAGAGATTTGAGAGTGAATACTAGTTTGTATTTCTTAACTTGAGGTGTCCATCTCTTTGTTTCCCCCAAATCCTTTGGATTTTCCAACGTTTTAAATTTTATTGCTTAGTGAAGAATAGGGTCACTTAACCGATTTTCGACCTTGAAAACGTCTAATGCCACACGAATTTGCTAGCAGCAGTCTAGCCCCGTGACACAAACATGTGCAAACATCACTTTTCACAGTCAACCAAAATCACAGAAAAGGCCGAAAGAGAGAGCGAGTTGGTCCTACAGGCCCCTTTCTCTTTTATGCCACAATCCCAACTCCCAACGGGACATCTAACTTAACGCTTCTCTCATGTCCAAACACGGCATAAGTTATATACTCCATAATACGACAGCATCTCAAACGTCAAATACCTGGGGTGGGAAATCGATCATAAATGAGTCTAGTTCGAGTATTATTGAGTTCAACCCAATTTAAAAACTTTAAATTAAGCTCAATTCAGTTAGACTTGAAAGTCACAAGTTTAAAATTTTTAAGTTCCAATTGAAATAAAAAATCAAAATTTAAACTTGGTCTCAATCTCAATCTCGAACTCAAACATTAAGTACATGAAAGTCTTATATTATATATATATTTTTAAAATAACATAATGTTAATATTGTTAATGACTTAATTTAAAAAATCTAAAAATTTAATATTTTTTTTCAAGTAAATCGTGAACTTTTCGAGTTAAGTAACAATAAATTTACTTTGACTCGTTAAGAATTCGAGTTAAATTCAAAATCGAGTCAAATTTATTCAATTCAAGTATTTACCGCCTAATCGTAACATAACATTTCTTTAGAAGAATCAGTTACATGTGAGGTTAAATCTTTGTGGTCCTGAGGAAGTATCTCACCATCTTCCGTTTCACACTCCCAACAACAACAGTCAAAACGAGTTGTTTAACCGGATCCAGTTGTAATCTTGTGTGTTAATTTCACATCTTTTCTAGATAGAATCTACACGCATTTTAATGGCGACAACTGCCACCGCCTTTGTTAATCCTTCATTATTTAAACCACAACAATTTCCCCCTCTACATATTAGCTTGAGCGATCCCCTTCTGTCTGTGCGTTGAAACACAGTTTCTTTCTCCCAAAAGCACAGACCAAACACAACACTGGTCAGCTCGAACATCAACGTATGGCTGTCGCCAAGCTAGTTTTCGTTTCCTTTGTTCTTGTCGAGGTATTAGTGCTGATCCATGTAGCAGAGGCCGAGAAACCAGAGGTGGATGTGGAACCACGGGAGATTAAGGTCCATGACCAGGACCGGCCTGGTTGGGCGATTCCCAGAGAAGCAGAAGAGCCGACGGCGAGTTCAACGATTGAGACCAGGGAGGCTGAAGCACCGGAGATCAGACGGCTAGGGAAGCATCATGCATCGGATAGCTCCATGGCCGGTGGTGGCGTCATCATCGGTGGACTTGCCACCGCTGTTTTCTTAGCTGTTTTTGCCTATATTCGAGTTACGAGAAAAATCAATGGCGTTCAAGTTCAACAACATTGATCATTTGTAAAATTTGAGTTAGAAAACAGAAATACAAGTAGATCAAATTCTTTGAATCAAATTCCTCGTTGTTTGAAAAGTTTCCGGCTACGGGATGCAATAGAGGCAGTAACAAATGAATGCTTGACGAACTAGGTTTAGGGTTTTCAAAAACAATACAGCCCAACCCATTTGGCTGCATTGGACCCTGGGGTGATAATTTGCATGAAAAACACTAAACTAACAATAAATATTAAATAAATATATTCACGACCATATAATTGAATTTTGTATCTATTCGTGAGTAATAAAATTATAAATAAACATAATTTTGTTTTTAGATATTAAATAATTCAACATAGATATAAAAATCATATTAAAAATATATAAATATAAATATTAAAAATATATTTTAAAAAATATTAAATTTCAATAAATAAATAAATTTATTATAAATAATATTGAACATAATACATTTATTTAAAGTTGTTCGTTTAATAAATAAACATAAAGTTTTAATTTACATTCAATTATTCAATTTGATAAATGAATAATATATAAATATTTTTAAATTATTTATTGAATCATTTATTTATTTATAACTTAATTAAATAAAAAAATATTAAAAAATAAACCCGTTATAGTATTTAAAAATATTATATTATATTTTATATTTAATATCACATTATTTGATTCATAACTTTTTTTTAATCATTTAAAAAAATCAAAATGTAATATAAATATAAAGACCTGTAAAATAAGGCCCATGCCCAACAAATAGACTGTGGTAGGTGCATATAATAACGGACAAGTGCTGGTTTAGACTTCAATCCACCGTTTTTCCCACTTTGCCTTGCAATCAACTTCCCACATCAGAAAAAAAAAATGGCTTGTTCCTCGAACTGGTGGCGCGCGCCAGTCTACTTCACCATCTCGGTTCTTCTAGCTTTCCTCGCCATCTCCACCGCCCTACGTTCACTATCCAGGGACGAATCCCTTCCGACCAAATCCGCCATTGCCCCACTCCTTTTGGACGCCTCCACCGCTCTAAGAAAATCGGGTTTCAACCTCCTCCAAATCACCCCCCGAAATCTTCATCTCCTCGCCGCATTCCACCATCTTCGCCATCCCGGACTCTTCCATCGCAAATGCTTCCCACGCTTCTTGGCTCTTGAAGCATCTTTTTCAGTACCACGCCTCTCCTCTTCAGCTTCCCATGAAAGAACTCTTGAAGAAACACAAAGGTAGTTGCATCCCCACATTGTTCTACGGCAAGAACGTGGCTTTAACAAAGGTTGATGATAAAGAAAGACTCGTCGAGATCAATCGCGTGTTGGTTTCGCATCCCGATATCTTTCTTGACGGCCCTTTGATGATTCATGGCGTTCTTGGATGGATCCTCGGTATGTTAACCAGGGTTGGGATCATATTCAAGCCCCCATTTGCGATTCTAATCTTAGGGCGGTTTGTTTGTCTCTTAATGAAAGCATTCAGTGCATATTGATTCAACAAAACAGTGTTGAATGATTCAACACAGAAGTACATTCTGAATGATTTAGAGTCATTATCAAACAGTATGTCACATTCAGAGTTAATTTATTTAGAGCCTTTGAATCATTCAGTATTTGAATCATTTAACGCTTAATCATTCTGAAGTAAACAAACAGCCCCTTAGCTTAGTTTCGGAAGTTGTCGACACCAAGAACTTCGTTGAATGGACGCATGTCATCCGTCTGTTAAGCTCGAAGGGGTTCGTTTTGTTCGCGATCGGGCTGAACTCTGTAATTGATGGGATTCTTTATGACAAAATGAAGTTGAACTCTGTTACCGTCTTTGCCCCACCGGAGTTTTCGTTTGTGGCGTCTGCTTCGGCTTTGCTCTAGAAGATAGTTAGATTACACATAGTGCCTCGGAAACTCACCTACATGGAACTTGCTTCTTTACCTGCGAATGCATCGCTGAGTACTTTAGTTCCCGGTCATCTTCTCCAGGTATCCGAGGGCGTCAAAAATACACGAGAATTGATGATCAATGAAGCTAAGATCGTTGCACCGAATATCTTTGAATCGAAGAAGTTTGTGATCCATGAAATATCACAAGCTTTTGAATTGGATGAGCTTCCTAACATCTCCAGATGAATGAGGTTCCATTAGCAGCCTCTATGTTTCTCTTTGATATAGAAGTCTACTGTGTGTCAAATATGTTGGTTTTTCTGATGTCCAGGACCAAAATGTAATCCGTGCTATAACACAGGGATCTTAGAGGACTTTTTCTATACAGTAAACGATATTAGCAAGTACTATGAAGTTTGTGGCTAGGCGTGTAAATGAAACAGGTTGAACTAAGGTTTCTTTGTATTAGTTAGTTTATTTTCAAAGGTGTTCATATTCAATTTGGATTGGTTAAAATTTAAATATCGTGTTCGTATTAATTTATTTATTTTTTTAAGGTGTTCATTTTCATATTCGATTCCTTTATCATTCGCAAACATATTCATCTATATTCCTGTTAGTAGCTCTAGTGCTCACAAATTAAAGATAAATGTTAAAAATAAGTCACTAGTCCTTAAGATCTTTAAACTTTATCATTTGAACTCTAAAATTTACCATGCATTCAAATTAATATCTACCTTCATCAATATTTAAAATATAAAAAGATAAAAGAAAAAGAGAACCACATAAGCGAGATTATTTGTAAACATAAACAAATCGAATGCACTTTTACCATTCATTCTAAATGAAGTGAAACAGTTCTTTCCATTGCTATCATTACAGAAAAAGGATGTTCAATGCTCCTTCAATTTTGAGTGCACCATTGCCTGTGACCCGGATTCCATCTCGGACATTTCGGACTGAAATAACTCGAAACGACTCTCGAATTCATAAGCTCGATAATGGGAGCATATTTGACACACCTCGGTGTCTTGTACTGGTTTACTGATGCACCCTGGGTTAGAGCAAAGTCCATGAGCAAGTCGAATGTGCCATTCTCCACTACCCTTATCTCCAACGGCCCGATGGATTTGTCCGAAACTCGCCCTTGCCGGTAGACACTATTAAGTGATTCTTCGACGGTGAAGCAACAATCCTCGAAAACCGACGGAGGGATCAAAGTTGCATCTTTGACACTTATTTCCCAATACAGCACGTAATGACCGGGACTGGCCGATGTGTCTGCGTAGCTGGTGTATTCCACCAAAGATGCTTCGAATTGCATGAGTTGGTTTGCAGCGTTTGTCACAGCGTTCTGTAGCTCCACTTCATCGGTTTTATCGGAATCAATGCTGAGAACAACGTTTTTCCGACATATAAAGTTGAATTGCGGGGCGTTGTTCTTGAATCCGGGCACGCGAAGTATGTCTCCAACTCGATATCGATAAAGACCTGCCAACATAAAACATTTCCCCGTTCAGAACACACACAAAACATAATGTATTGAATCAATTATATGTTTTCAAGGCCCTACATTACCTGCATATGTTGTGACAACAAGCTCATACTCTCGTCCCAGTTCCACGTCGACAAGATCGACGAGCTTTTTTTTTTCTTCATCGTTCAGGGCCGTTGATTCAGAGACGGAACCCGTTAGCTCATTTTTCCTAGATACCGGCAAGAACTCGAAATACGCCATGGTGGGGATAAGGGTGTAGGAAACCTCACTAGGACTGCAAAGCGGTTCGAGATTGATTCCGAAATAACATTCGGATGACCCGTACATGGTGCAAACGAGGGGCAGGGCGTCGCTGTAATAATCTAGTGCAGGAATGTACTGAGACATGGTACCAGTAACAATAACATCTATATACTTACTGTTAGGCCACAGTCTAGTTATGATCCCTTTCCATGACCCTTTGGTACATTCTGCTTCGACAAAATCAGCAAGCTTGGGGTTTGGTTTCAAGAATTTCGAGACGGCTTCCCTTACAGTAGGATCGGTGATTTTCGAGTCGATAGTTCCGGTACGAATATCTCTACAGAGTAGACTCCAATGTTTTTCGAGGAACTGGATTGCTCGAATGAAACCGGAAGCGAAAATCGCGCCGACCCGAACGACTTCTCGGTTTTGATAAATACCACAAAGCAACTGAGAATACATGCTCTGGTAAGAATCTAGGCAGAGAATTGTTTCGTTGGGGCTCGTATAATTGGTGTAGGGATCATTAGGCCTATCCTTAAAATATGAGCTTTTGTAGTAACTCGTTAAAACGGGACGAGACACGAGTCCACTCGGGGTCTTGGCTTCTGATTTCACAAACAAGAAATACATTCCCTTCCCTTTATCCAAACCCGGAACAAATTGACTCATTACCGGCATCAGTAGGCTATATAGCAACGATCTCCTCTCGAGTTCGTCGTCGATCGTCGGCATCAGTTTCCTCTCCCCGCCGGATGTACCCGAGCTAATACCATTAAACAATCCCATGCAAACGCCACGATTCATGATCAGTTCAAAAAATAACAACATAATCAAATAGTTACATACCATGGACTGACCTTGTTAAGAACTCTGATATGGGTTGGGAGCAAAGAATCGGTGACGTATCGCCATTGGCGATACGCTCGATATCCGGCTTCAAATCTTCGTACGTTATGACCGGCATCACCTTCTTGAATGTTTCTCTATCGGTACACCCGTTAAGGCCGTTCCGCTGTAAGTACTCAGCATCGGCACTACGAGTGAGAATCTCGGATAGAACTCGCTTCTGCACTTCATCAGCATTAACAGTAACGTCTTCGATGAACTTCAACGCCTTGTTATTGTTTTCCACGACGATATCATCATCGGATAAGGCTTTGGGAGCTTCTGACATGGCTTTTTGAAGCAGAATAAAAGCAATAATAATATGAGTATTGAAAATACTAATTTTATGCATCAAATGGAGAGAGCAAGGGAGATATATATAGGCCAATGTGTAACCCACTAATCTCTGCAAAATGTTCAATCAAACAAATCAATGCACAAGACAAAAGAAATAAAAAACAAAAAAAGGATAAAATCGTAAACGAAGATTAAAGAGATAATAAAATGGTGGGAAACCGTGGAAAGCAAGTGATAGGACTTGCATTGTTTTAAAGTGTTTGGGTACTGGGATTCTGACTCGATTCTATAAAAAGGATGTACATGATATCCGATCTTAACATATTTCGACTCGATTTTATAAAGTCAGAGATAATAATATAATTGTATTTTATATATTTAAAGATAATTATATATCTCTCTATAATTTTTTTCTAACTAGATCCTTATTGTATTGAATAAAAAATTATATACATATTTGCATTGGGCCGGATTAGATGCAAGTGTAGATTTTTACCCTAAAAATTACTACAAAATTTAGATCAAACGAATCCGTCCTAAACTCGGGTCGAATCAATTGACCAAAAATAATAATATTCGTCCACTCAATAAAAAAATATGACCTAATCCCACTCATATCCATTTCTAAAAATGAAAGATAGTGTTCTGTCCATAAAGTTTATAACTACTACAGAACTTGGTGCCTAACTAGCTAGCTAACTAGTAGGCTTGCCAATGGGATTATATAGCATATACTATCTAATATCATACATAAATGTAATGAAAATGCAGCTGCAAGCTAGACGTCGGTGTTGATTGATTGATGATGTTAATACAATCTGCAGTCCCACTCAATTATCATGTACATGCAAATACAATCATGCATTGATTTTCACTTCTATTTCGGAGACTGCGTAGGGTTAGAGAAATGCAGATCCTTTTCCCAATACAGCTTTTATTGGATTTATCATATCATATGCACACGTATGGGGGCCGATATATGCGGGGGTGGTAGAATTTGTGACGTATCCCAAATTTTTATAATTTTATACTTTTTTCATTGCTCAAAAAGAACATGCTTCTGGACTTGTCTTTTCATCAATTTTGTTTTTCATATTTGATTGTGTGTTAATATGGGCAATGATTGATTGTTTAAAATAGTCCTTTAAAGCTGACCATATTCCCATATGTAATGAGATAAAGGGAGGTAGAGTAGTAGGTTGATTCCAACGCTAGGTTGAGAGCAGCTTCCGTGGAAGACTTCCGTTATGAATTGCCCTCAATGAAACTCGATCCCACAATCACAAGGTTAAAAGCTTTGTGCTCTACCGACTGAACTAGACGGACAATTCTCAAAATAATCATTCAAGTAGACCCTAAAATTGAAGATGTTTTAGGGTCTGCAACCGGTAATCAGGTTATTCCAATAACAGTAATATTCTGGCAAGTTAGATAACAAAGCACATTTCTGGACAATCCAAAACATAAAGCTGTGTATTAGGTTGAGAGTGGAGATATGTCTCGTCGCTGTCCTTTCATGCAAGCAAATTGGCTGCCATATGGGGCCTTGCAGGAACATGTTGTGACTTGTTGTGAGGAGCATGTTGCTTTACATGTTTCACTTCATTGTCTGCCTGCTCCTCTAAAGTACGATCAGGTACTAACGGTGAATTTCGATAGAGATTATAACATTGAATCACAAAATATATTACGGTAAAGTACATATTTAATATTTAAACTATTATTTTTATTTTAATACTTAAATTTTATATATTTTTACAATTATACTTAATATTTTAGTTTATTCTTCAACACTGACGTTAAAAATTTTAATTGTAATGTTGATGTGTCACCATAAAATAACGTCACATCATTATTAAAAATGTCGCGTCGGTAGTTTTGTTAATTTTTTAACGATGGGATATCAAATTGAAACCTAACCTAAACAATATGTATTATTTAAAAAAAAAATAAAATTTGAGTACCAAAACAAAGCATAAACAATAATTTATATACTAAACATGTAGTTTACCCTGCATATTCTAAGGTGGTGTTCTTAGGTTGCGGAGTAGATTACGGGATTTCTAGTTTCGTTTTGTTAATTCATAAGAATTCCCCGCATAAGCAAAATAACCCTTAAGAAGGTAAAGAGGGCCAAGCAGGAGGAAATGTAAAAGAGAGAAGGGTAGAAAGGATAAAATGCACTTACGGTTACTCAATTATGTGTTCAATAATAAATATTTTAATTTAATTATTTAATTAAAATATTATTATAAATAGATTATTGATCGTTAAATATTAGACGAATTAGTGACATGACCTGTTATAATAAAAATTTCAATCCCTTAAACTTGAACATTCTATTAATTTGATCATATTAAAAAAGATCAATAAATTTACCTCGTATCATTTTCCTTGCATAATAACATATTAGCATTAACTTGTTGTTACTTAATGGTAGAATGTAGTTAATTAATTATCCTATCGTTGTTTTGATTCGGTGGACCTATTTAATTTGATAATATCATAAAAAGTATTAAATTAATAGAATTTTTATATATGAAAATGTTAATTTTATTGAATTATTTTAAATTAAAATTAAATTAATAAAATATATACATTTTCAAGGCTAAATTATTATAGCAAGTCTCCTTACACATCTTTTTAAATTTTAACCGCAGCAATAATTTTATAATAATATTTTAAATAAATAATTAATTATAATATTCTTTTAGAAAATATTTCAATTATTATCAAACATATAATTGAGTGATTGAAATGTAATTTTTACTTGACGAAATGGATTCCAGATTGCCGCATATAGAACAAAAGAAAAAGGAGGCCAATAAATCATTGTGTTTGATGGTATAAAGTGGGGGGAGAGGAAGGCATGATTATGATGTAGGCTTGTTTTACGACAGTTTAATTTATGGTTATTTTAAGATGATTTTTAATTTAAAATGTTATCATATTTAATTTTAAAAATAGTATAAATTTATAATATTTTCGATTATAATAAAAAAATTACTTTGTGGGAGTTTATGACATGTAACTAAAAATATTATAAAAATATATTTTTTATCCAACCTAAAATATTATATTTTTAATAATCTTTTCGATTGTAATTGATTTATATCGTTTTTAACCTTATATTAATAAATTGTATTTTAAATTTTCTCAAGATTATCATGTTAATGTTGTTCGTGTAATACCCTTTGTCTCCCTGCCTAGAGACCATGGATTTGATGAATTTTTGTCATGTCTGTCATACCCAGAACCATATCCTGTTTCACCATCGTCAGCCTTGGAGATTTTCTTTTACGTGCACTGTGTATTTGGAGAATTTTCGGGAAGTTATACTGTAAAATAAATACGTTATCAGTTTTGTTATTAATTTTTTTAACAAAATTGATAAAAAATTTATCTAAAATATTATTATTTATACATAAAACATTAATATTTTTTAATATTTCCAGTAAAATGCTCAATAATAATAAAATCGGTAGAAAAAAATAATGTTTTAGGTAGCGCATTATTAGATATGTTAACAAAACCGGTAAAGTGCACAATAATAAAAAAAATCGGTAGAAATAATAATGTTTCTGGTATTTTTTTTTACCGGTTTTGTTAAAAAAATAATAACAAAATCGGTAACACATTTCCTTAACCGTGTATTAAGGCGTCCGCATGTGATTATTTCAAAAACAGTTGCATGCATTTTTCGCCACCTTGGTCAATATTTGTGGATTTTTCTCCAAGTAAAATAATAAAAATCACACTGGAATCATCTTTAGCCAGGCTCAGGAAATTAGATAGATTTTGGTTAGACCTTTCAAATTCCAATTGGCAGATTGAATTAATATTAACCTTTAAATCATTTTAGAAGATTGTGAATGGCTATACAATGAAAAGATCTCTCAACAAAGTTTGTACAAATCAAATTAAATTTTCAAATTCACATAAGAATTGACATTTATAGTTTCCATGTTAGATCATGTTTGGTTGGAAACAAAAAATCGTATCTGGAGATAGACGAAGAAGCTTTACTAGAAGGGGCAAGAGCAACGCCGGACTATGAATGCAGGTTGTTTCGGAGGTGGAACCGATGCGTTTCCGCTGTCGAGCCTGAAAAATACCTGCGACTTGGTGGGAAGATCATTGGAGCTTCTTGAACGCACAACAGCACTACGTTTAGACACTTTAGAAGCTCTTCTTTGCAAGTCTCGCACGGTGTCCGCGTCCCGCTGATGATCTCAATTACAACAACACCGAAGTTGGAGGCGTCTGGTTTGACAGAGAAAAGTCAGACTAGTGCGTACTTGGAGAACATGTAGCATCACATTCAAGTAATTGTTGTAGAATCACATTCAAGTAAAGGCAAAGCTTACTAAATTCCAACTACTCTATTTGTGTTTGCAGAAGTTTCTTAGTCACCGAAAATCCTCGTCGTCCCAAAATCGGAGATTTCTCGATTCATCTCCTCATCTAGTAGAATGTTGCTCGTTTTTAGATCTCTATGAATTATCCTCAGCCTTGAATCTTGGTGGAGACATAGAAGGCCTCGAGCGATTCCCAATATCATGCGGTATCTCATATCCAGCAGTCCAACAGAAGGCGATTTTCCCGATATATCACCGGTGACCGGTAATATTACCGATCTAACACCGGTCAGATTATATTTCTCGATCTAATACCCTTAGCAGTAAAGCGCGCCCCCTGCACCGCGTTATACGATGATTTGACGTCACGTGGGGTATAGCGTGCCCCATGCACCGCGTTATACGGTGAGCTGGCGCCACGTGGGTATAGCGCGGCCCCTGCAGCGCGCTATACGCCACGTAGGGGTATAGCGCGGATCAGGTACCGCGCTATACCTTTACTCCTAATAATTTTATATAGCGTGGGGCAGGTACCGCGACATACCATTACTCCTGACATAATTTTATATAGCGCGGGGCAGGTACCGCGTTTTGTATAACTTTCCTCGCTATAAATACCATTCTCCGCCGGTTAATTTCTCACATCTCTCCTCTCAACTTATAAATTAATACAACA